GAAGCCAAGCCAATATACAAGAATATTTTGACTCAGCGTGAGATATAATTGTGTGTAAATTGCAATATATTGAAATAATACATCTAATTTTATATATTATATCGATAAACACTATAAAATTTATTTTATAATTTAAATTTAAAAAAACAATCTATTTAATTTTATCTAAGAAAACATCTCGCCAACTTGCTTAAAACTTCATAAATAATCATGGCACTGTATATTTCATATACAGTAGATCCCCCTATAAGACTGGTTCCTATAATTACGATTCCTATAAGACGGCGAAAAAATTGTGGCAGTATCCATACACAACGGTAAAAAATCTCCTATAATTACGTAAAACATCATCGGGCAGCCGAGCTACTTTCTCGCCATCCGTAGCGCCACGCTACGGACGTTTAGGCGGGTAAATTGAGTTTAATTTTGTCTGTACATATAATTATANAATCGTATCGCCAACAGTTAAAATTATTTTTAGAAACGGCACGTGATTATAAGATACACGAGATTATTATGGGATGCGCACAACATATCTCCACGAATATAATTTATAAAAAAATTATAATTTGGAAAGGCACGTGATTACCTTCCTTATTCAAACTTCTAGTAACTGAGCACGTTCTTATTTAAAAACATTCGATTTAAAAATCCAGTGCAGTAAATTTGGCCTGAAGAAGAGCCCAGGAGGGGCATCGAAAGCGTTTGCCAATCTTTGTTTGGAGTTTTCACGCCGGATATTGGTTAAGAAGTAAGCATATTTGTTTTATATNAAACCCGGACATAATCCCGATTTTTAATGAGGCACGAATCATTCACACCACTCGTCATCAGGAACATCTAAGAACCTTGGAAGCGATGGAAATATACAGAGCAGATCGCAAATTAACCTGCATCAATCTTAAAGAAGAAATGAATCTTTCAACAGCGTGGCAGTATCTATTGGATGATGAATCGTAATTTATTATACGATACACGTGATTATTAGGGGATACGCACATCGTATCGCTACTAGTAAAATTATTTTTAGAAACGGCACGTGATTAGTTAAAATCGTATCGCCAACAGTTAAAATTATTTTTAGAAACGGCACGTGATTATAAGATACACGAGATTATTATGGGATGCGCACAACATATCTCCACGAATATAATTTATAAAAAAATTATAATTTGGAAAGGCACGTGATTACCTTCCTTATTCAAACTTCTAGTAACTGAGCACGTTCTTATTTAAAAACATTCGATTTAAGAATCCAGTGCAGTAAATTTGGCCTGAAGAAGAGCCCAGGAGGGGCATCAAAAGAGTTTGCCAATCTTTGTTTGGAGTTTTCACGCCGGATATTGGTTAAGAAGTAAGCATATTTGTTTTATATGACCTGGTGTGGGAGAAATCCTTGGTTATTCAAAAATTAATAAATAAATCCAATATATGTGAACACTTTCAAGAAATAAACCAGGATATATTTTGATATGGCATATTGATCAATAAATATCTGTATCTGTATCTTACCATACAACCGTGCATGCCAGAAACGACCCACACCCTCGGAAACGACACCTGATCCCAACAAATAATGTACACTCTGTCCGAGGAATTTCAGTTGACCTGAAGAAGAGCAAAGGGATTGCTCGAAAACGTTTGTCAACAGCTATATACAGTATATACGCGTCGAGTGCCGGTCACAGGTTCCAAATAGTGCAACGTTCATTCTAAGACTGTTGTTCTGACATCCTCCCACTTCTTCAAAAGATCTTCAATAGCAGATGTTGGCATTGATCCTTTTTCATCTTCCTCTTCTTCAGAAGAAAACACATCTCACTGAGTTTCTTGGTGTTCTTCATTTAATTCTTGGAGTTCTTCTGTTGTCAGATCAGTTCCAGATTCCATTATGAGCTTTTCAATGTCATCTTTATTCACTTCCAATTCCAGATCTCTAGCAGTTGTCAAAATTTCATCCATAATTTCAGGGACATCCTCTCTCTCTCCCTGAATACAGAAGAGGGACACAGCTTTCGCCAAGCAGAATTCAACTGTCGTTAAGTGACTTCTGACCATGTCTTTTGAATGAGTGGTATAGCTTCAAGAATATCAAATTTTTCTTTCCAAAACATTTTTAATGTCATCATTGAGGAGAACTGGCATGCTTCAAAACACCGACAAAACAGTGCTCAAATGTACCATTTCTTGAAACCCGCAATAACCTCTTGATCCGTTAGTTTAATCTATGAAGTGGTATTTGGAGGTAGAAATTGAACTAAGTTTGTGCCTACTGTAGACCAGGGGCTGTATTCTGGTCACTGTCTCTGGTCTCTTGTAAGCCGATCACTGATTGGCTAATCATTTGGATTAGCCAATCAGCGACCAGCTTGCGCAAGATAAGAGACCAGAGATAGTGACCAGAATATGGCCCCTGTTCAAGCCATACTGCCTAGCAACATCAGACATCTTCTGCCCACTCTTTACTTTGGCTATTACCTCTTGCTTGGTTTCTATGGTGAACACGGTTCTTGACACTCCACTCTTTTTATGCTCCATAATATTATCAATTTCTGTTTGAAATAAAAAGTTCAGAAAAGCACTCACAAAAATTCAGAAAACAGAAATCAACTAGCACATGAAAGAATTATGTAAATGTGAGGCCCGAATGTAATTTAAAATTTTGGTGTTAAAATGTTAACGAATACCCGATAGGACAGTTAAACTCTCACCTTTAGAAAATAAAAACAGACGCAAAACTTATTGAGTGCCAGACAGTCTTGCGAAGACTATAAAAAAATTATTTGTCAGAAAAGTAAACAAAAAACAGGAATTACAATGGAGAGTTTCAAAGTTCAGGGAAACACTATCCGATCGGTATCAGGTTGAGCGCCGATGCTGACATCTCCCGTGCTCTGAAAGGTTTCGAATTGTTACCTGAAGACAAGGGAAAATCAATTGGTATTTCGTTATTTTCCGTTGCTTCTTTTTATTTTTGTTCAGTGGTTCGTTATCCGAACATGTGTTCATTGTCCAATCATAAAAATCTTTTGCAAAAGTGTTCGTTATCCAATTTCTTCATTAACCGATCACCCACTTCAATTAGTTCTACCTTCCTAGGATGCATTTGGAAATTCTAATCGGTGTTACCGGTAACTGCCGGTAGTTACGAAGGCCTTTAAAAAACATGACCTAAATAACCAACTGCGTTTAAAAATCACTGTTATGTCGTCACCGGTTTTCCTGCAGTACTTACCAAAATAACCATGTGTGCCGCCAAATTTTTAAATTATTAAAAGTGTACCATGACAAAAAAAAAAGGTTGAGAATCACTGATATAGACATTCCAGTGCCTCCAGATTTTGCAGGTGTTCCACCTGGTGAGAAAGTTTGATCAGTTTGGCCTCAGTTTACAGAGAGATTGCCGCCCATACTAACACTAAGATTGCATACAAGAGGCCTAGCACTGTATATGGACTACTCTGCGGTGGCAAAGACAAAATCAATAAAAAGCAAGCACCGGGTGTTTACATGGTCCCTCTATAGGACAACAGGTTTCAAAGGGAATTAGTTTATATTGGGTCCACAAAACGCTCTTTGAATAAAAGATTGCAGGAACACAAATACAACATCGTTAATAAACAGCACACCACCGCCCTATCAACATATGCCACTGAACCCAGCATAAGAGCTGACCTACATGAGGCCAAACTGATCAAACTTTCTCACCGGGTGGAACACCTGCAAAATCTGGAGGCACTGGAAATTTACAAAGCCGGGTTATGCACCAATTGCATTAACGCTAATGATGCAGTCAATGTGTCGCACGCTGGGAAGTACTGCTATGAGGTAATGGGCGACGCCCACTCCAGCAATTAAACATCACATCCCCGTTTGGTGTATTTATTTATATATATTTATATAATTGTAAGTATTACATATGCCATTCCGTCGCCATGGCAATGACATGCATAACTGTATTCTTTTAAAATCCGTTTGTGCTGTTCCATTTTTCAAAATTAATTTCATAAATCATTGTTCTACGCTTGCACAGGTTCGAATCTAACTGTTTTTAAACCTGATGAAGACCGAAAGTACGGTCGAAAACGTTTGTTTATTATTAAATTGATTACTACTGGACGTTTAAAGGTTTTGGAGTGTTAATTGATATTAATTTTACTTAATACATCCAGTTTTAGTGTTTTCATTAAGTCCATTTATTTTTAAATCAAAATATTTAAATGTTTGCATTTGTACCTATTCCAAAATATTGGTAACCGATAATATATTGATACAGAAGCTCCTCATTACATCGCGCGCAAAAACAGACAAACCAAATAAGCGATAAATCAGGTAGCACGACATAACCGACATATCCATTCCCTATTGACTATGGCACTTTTATATTTGGAAGAAACAAAAAGTCATATATCCAAATGAACAATATAACGGGGCGCGATATAACGAGGAGCTATATCTCGCAAAAGGTCACTCGTAGAGGCATGGTTCCTTTGACAGTTTTGCAGGGCTGTGGAGTCGCATAAAAGTCTACTGACTCCAACTCCGACTTTTCCTTGCCATCCGACTCCGACTAAAACACTAAAACTCCACGACTCAGACTCCGAAGCCCTGCTTTTTTGTTCCTAAGAGTATACTCTAAATCTCTGTTAAAGTTCCAAACGTATCATTCATAGCTTGAATTAGGTAGAAGTTACTTTTACGTACTTTATACATATTTACACACATAAGCAAGTGACCTAAGAGTAACTTCTACTACTGACTGTGACTGTCACTTGACATTCCAGTGTTAAATACAATTTATATCAAATTTCCTTCGAATTTAATTGTATATTTCATTAAAGAGTATGTTAAAAATTAAGTTTTTTCAGTCTCTGAACGTCAAAATCATTAAGTTTTACTCAAAATTGCGCGGAATTTCAATCACGACGATTGTTTACATGTAGTCATTTTGATAAAATAAATGAAAATGTGCCATAAAAACCACTTGTATAAACACATACCATCTAATTCTTCAACTGTTCTGTTGTCATATTCATTGTTGACATTTCCGGGTTTATCTAAACCCATTTTTGAGTCGTTCCTGAAAACCCAACCACCGCTACTGGAATCCATCTTCCTTCAAAATGAAGGTAAGGTGACGTGACTCCACCAATAGGAGCCAAGTGTGACGATCGGGTGATATAGTATGACGTAACCGCAATTGTAACTGGAGTGCACGTGTACTTACGAGGAGCTCTCTAGTGTGAAAAAACGAAGTAAAAAAAAAACAAATAAGTTTGCCAAATATAAATGATGAATGATTTTGTCGTGTAAATAATGTATTAATATCTTAAATGTACTTAAATTGATTAATTATATAATATAAATAATATTTAATGCGTTTTTAAAAATGTTGGATAATTATGTGTTCATTCGAGGTAGGCGATTGGTTAATATAAGAGATTTCAGTTTCCAGCACGGTTATTGGATAATATAGTTAGGTAATTGCCTTTCGTTTTCGTTCTAAAAATAACCGCTTCCGATAGGGTGGCGTTCCGATCGTTCAATAGGCAAAGTTAGCGAGGGTCGTGTTAGCGTGTGTCCATTTTAAGTGTTCTTGTGTTTGTTTAGTTATTTAAGTTTTCTTTTCTGTGTTTTTTGTAATATACGATTGTTAGATTCGGCTTCAGGATCGTCTATTTTTAATTTGTTGCGGCAGAAAATCGTTGATTTTTACGAAGAAGAGAGGCGCGTAAATTTCAAATCGGCGGTTTTCTTGAATGGACATTCTTCATGCCTGTAACCTTACAGAAAAATGAATTGCATCCATTCAACAGTAATGATATTTATAGTTATATTATTACAGCTCTGTTGTCAGATTCCCACCTAACAGATAAATGAATGTGATGTGAAAGTGTCGGGCACGGAGTTTCTGTAACATTAAAGATTGAAGATCTTTGCAGTACCCGCATACTGCAGTATTTTGCAAGGTGGAGAAACGAGATGTTCGAGAGAAACTAGAACATTAAATCGGCAAGGAACTTCTCCCGCGTACATTAAATTCGTAATCATGATAAAATTTTAGATACTGTTACGTAAATATTGCTAATCAACTGGACTTTGAACTACAGTAAAACGTGTTCAAAACGGAACCTTAATTAGGATATCGCGCGACTTTGTCGTATCGCGAAAGAATTGAGGCGGAGTTGAAAAGAAAGAAGCCGTCCTTACACTTGTCAGGCACAGAAGAGGCGTTCCTGGACAGGCGAACTTTGCAGTTGACGCCACGAAAGACGTTATTATTGCTACTATCAGCCACGGGAAAGGGTATTCTCGTATCTATCGGCTAAATAAGAGGCGATCTTTGCACTTTCCTTCGCGGAGAGGCGATCCAAGAACAAAGCAATCGATATTAATTGCTTTGTTCTTGTGTTTCGTTTGTTTTTGTATTTATTTTCCGTTAGCGGCACGCAATGTTGTGTTTTATTTGACCCCTAAATTTCTTCAGGCGAACTCAATCGCGTCAGGGAACACAGACATTTTCCATTTTACCCCATTGTAAATTGAAAACGAAGTAATAGACAGCTATTTTTTACATTTACGTAGACCCTTATAGCAATTTTGGGTTTCTCATTGCAACTAAAGTGGCAAAGTTTTATCAAAAGTGGCCCATCAAGTTTTGAGAACGAACTCAATTTTCTAAATCCGCAGAAGACGTTCTAGCGACCTCGGGACATCGAGAGACTTTGTCGCGCGATATCGCTTTGTCGCTACAACCTTGTTTCTCGAAAACAAAAACATGGACCTCCCCATTTTTTAATTACATTTTTGGATTCTTCATTGCAATTAAAGAAAATAGCAAAGTTTAATCAAAATCGATCGATCAGATTTTGAGATCGAACGCAATTTTGTAAGCCGCATACGTGCAATTCCGACTTCGGTGGAGGAATCTTTCCGGAAAGGAAAGTATTCTAAATTTTAAGATCTCGATTTATTCACACGTGACGATTAGTACTAAGAAGTAAGACGAATTCTATTGGTCAGACGACAAAGGTAAACACTACATTACGTCACACGAGGAAAAAAGTTGATATTTAATCTAACAGCATTTAATAACGAAAAGAATGAAAGTGGCCTATTAACTTATTAATGATAGGAATTCTCAAATGCATGTTCGATTCTTATATATTTTTCTTCCTAATAACTTGGAAAAGGTCGAAGTTTCTGAGAACGAAAACTGCAAAACCATAGAAACTGATTATCTGTTGGGTAAAAAACACAATTGATGGATTAATAAGAGAAGAACTCGAAGCACCACACGATCTTAATTGTTTCCAAGCAACACCAAAGCCATAAAATCCAATACAGGATTATTCCCGAATTCATATTTCAGTCTTTGAAATTATTCTGACACCTCGAAACTATCGAAAATTCTTAAAATTTTGCTACAGATACAAGAAGAAACTTTGTCTCAGTCTACAGAAACTAAAGGTACTTTCTCTTCTGGTGACATTTCACTAGAATTAATTCGATTCGAATCGACAAGTATTAAAAATTTAATTAAACAAAAATTTCCTTACTTTTTCTTAAATAACTTACATATAAATGGGCAAATGGATTTTATTCTGTTAGAAAACTATCGCGTGTATTTAATTATTTAGGTCAGATTTTTTTCATTAAAAATATGCGAAAACTTCTTTGAAAATATGCGAGATAAAGAAAACATATATATAAAACAGGTTATTTTTTAATTTACAAAGTCATTTTGGGAATAAAATTTGTAATAAATTAATAAGAATAAACTATTGTCGTATGGTCCACTCGGTATGGGTACTAGTTACAACCATTTTTCGGAAATAACTCGATGGGGATCCACCAGATTAGTAGTTTGATGATTTTATTATCACGGACAATTGCCTGGAAGGCTATAATAATTTGAATTCAATTTATATTTTCATAATTTTTCGTGTGGATTTGATTCACAATATCGTTTCGCATTCTTCACTCAAGTTAATCAATTCATCAAGAATAGTCCACATTTATAATGACAAAAACGGATATGTAGTGTGTCTCATCAACAAATCTTATCTGATCTAATCCTCATCCGCCCTCAAGAAATTGTATCCTTGAGTCATACGATCGTCGCCAAATAGGTTGCTTGGTATAAGTAAAATTGTAAACAATTAAATAAAAATATCTATTAAAAATGTTAGTAAAATTCATAACTATGCTGTACTTGTAAGTTGTTGCCTCATACAAGTGTCAGTTTATAAATTTTTCATTAAACTTTAAAAACAAAATTGCATTGTTTAATGATACAGTTAAGTGATCGCTTCTTAGGACGTAACTGATAGTTGAAATATTATCTATATCCTGATACTAAATATTGTATTTCTTTTATTTGTAATAACTATTGTTCTATTAAAACATAAACAAAAGAAATTGAATCCTAGAAAAGAACAACGATAAAAGTTGGCTAATATAAAAGTTATATACAGTGGTATAAAAGTTATATACCTCAGGATACGAAATTAATCCTTTCCGAAACTGAGATCGTATCATGAAAATGTCGTAAGGTGGATCATCTTTTCCCATACGATTACATGTAAAACCAAATAATTCGTCCCAACGCGAAAAACATACTCAAATTAAAGCCAAGTAATACATTTAAAAAATAACTGTAGTAAGAAAAACAAATGAAAAATGCGAACTAATGTAACGTCGTATGGTGAGTTTTTGTTCGTATCGTAGAGCAAAAATATGTACGAATTTCATGTCGTATCCTGAAAATTTCGTATCCTGGAGCGTTCGTAACCTGAGGTACCACTGTACTTGTATAGTACACAAATATATTATACAGTACATATAAATTCTGTACGAATCAGTTTATTAGTTTTGTTCTTTCCGGCGGATTTTATCTTGTGTCTTTCTTTTTCTGATAAACTTTCACACAGAAGGAAAATAAAAGAGTGTTAGTGGTGTTGCACAATGTTTGAATACGAGAATGCTTAAGCTACTTCACATTTCTCTGGAGTTACAATAAAAAACAAAACGATAAAAGTGAACAAATTACTTACAAGTAGGTATAAAATCTGTATTTTGTTTCTGAAGCAGATTTTTCTGTGAGTAAACTAAAATGGCTACCTGCAATACGGTCCCACCAATGGCCGAGTGGATATAACCACTGAACATCTTCCCGCCTTGCAGGAATTAATAATATTCTCGCAATTGTACAAAGTTGTTTTGTTCCACTCATCCTGTACACGTTCCCATAATTGGTGGTTGCTTTCAGACTGAGCTGCATACTCAGACAAGCGATATTTAAGAAGAAACTAGATGCATTCAATCGAGTTGAGATCGAGATGGCTAATATTTTTATCCCGAAACTACAACATTGCTCTTCTGGATTTATGTTTTGAATCTTTATCTTGCTGATAAATGAAAAAGCTTCTACCAATGTGGTAATAATCAACAGATTATAACAAATAATTGTCAAGTATTTCAGTGTAAATAACGCTATCCATTCTATTAGGTATAGAACAGCATTCCAGGGCCAAAACAAGTAATACAGCTCCAACTATAAGACCACCACCACTAAATTTCAATGTTTTTTTATACTTCTCGCTCAGTTATAGATGTAGTCCATACTCATTTTCATTCATCTGAATTAACTCTATTAATGTTGGATTCATCTGACCATACAATCCTCTTCCAATCTTCTAAGGTCTAGTCTTTATAGCATTTGCCAAAATTAAGACGTTTCTGTTTATGTAATTTGATAAGTTTAGATTTCTTGGGCTTAATTTTTGCTTCACTTCTATTCCTAAGCCATGTTTTACTTCACTCTTGTGATGATATATCGCAACGTCCACTCGTTATCAAACATTTTTCTTTTGGCGCTCAACGTTTTCTTCCTGCCAGCTCTTAAATTTTTGTAATATGGTAGCTCACTATTTTTTATTTTATTCTGGATATACTCCGTCAAACACCAACTTCTTATGCTGCTTTCTCATCAGAAAAACTTTTCTGCAGCAGGTTTACAATACGAGTTTCTTCTCACTGGAAAGCTTCTTTACTATGAAGCTTATCAAGCAGCAACTCGATTGCACATTTATACGCCAATATCTCGTTAATATGTACGAATATAAAGTTTAACGTTGATGTTAGGGCCTATAACAAATTAACTT